TTTTACATACAAAGCCCCTTCCTCCAAACTACAGTTGACTGTCATTTTTAAGGTTTGACTTGAAATTTGTTTTCCTGCCCACATTCCTATTTTCCACAAATGGCGTATTATTAGTGTAAACAAGGGCATTTAAAATACTGAAACTAATCACTTCATAAAAGGTTTCAAAAGTTTTCAAACTTTGTGCTATGTCTGAAAGACTATCAGATAGATCAATGTGGGTTATTTGCATTAAAAGACAGAAGAGCACCCTTCTAGTCAGTTCAGGCCGCTATAATGTGTACCAAAGACTGAGTGACTTAAACATTTATTTCTTACATTTCTAGAGGCTGGAAGGTTGACAATCTAGGCTCTGGCAAATCCAGTGCCTAGTAAAGGCATAATTTCTGATTTTCACGGCCATTTTCTTATTTTATCTTCTCATGGCTGAGAGAAAAAAATCATCTCTCATGTTCTTTCCTGTAAGGGTACTAACCTCCTGTAGGAGGGCTCCATCCTCATGGCCTAGTTACCTCCTAAGGGCCCAACTATCAACCTGGGAGTTAGGAGTTCCAAACAGAAATCTTGGGGGAACACAAACATTCACTTCTTAAGAAATACCCCAGGGAAAACCATCTCAAGGAGAGAAAGTGTGAGGAACAAAGTTTGAACCAAGGGGTTAGTGTTGCTCGTCAATCCAATTGTCCTCTAATCCTCTCCAAAGCATTACTCCCTTAATTCTGAAATCAGGAACAGTTAAAAACACTTAAACAGTTATTTTACTAAATTCTCCATAATCCAAAGAATACTGAGTGCCAGAATTAGATCACAAGTGAGAGGGAATGCTCTATGCGGACTTACCTCTTTAGAAGAAACACATTGAAACAGGTTGTGGGCTATACTCAAGAACTAAAGTGGCAAAATGAATAACAAGGAGAGGGGGATGCATTTTGAAATTTTCATAATGAGAAAATTCATAAGCCTTGAGATCCAAATCCAGAAAGCAGGAACCTGGTGAAAGCCAAGAAATATTTAAGTGGAAGAGTTTCTAAGCATGAGAACTAAATTGGAGGAATTGAAGGCCTTGGATTCGAAGAGATTGGCAGGGTCACAGCAGCACTTCCCCAGGTCACGCCAGTCTGGGTGTTATAGTAATAGAAGGAAGAGTGTTTCTTTAGTTCTCTGTCAGGGCTGGCTGCTATGACCTATGAAAGTACTTGTAACATTGTACTTGGACATTTGAGTTATGGCAGGTAACTTGAACTCAGAAGAGCACAGAAGATCCAAAAATACATTTAATAAACTGCTTCACTTAAAAACAATATTGGTAAAAATATCTCACATTGTTTAGAAAGTTATCATTTGGTTTAATTTAGTATGATCTGTTTTAGTAAAGTAAGGTTTATTTTATTTGTTTAAACTTCGGAGTATTTTCTGAAAAATAATTGTTTCTTGAAATGACTATGCTTTCTTCCATTGTTGAGAAAGAGGTACAAATTAACTTTTCAGTTTATTTGTTTTCTACTTCGTTGGACTGTTGACTCTAATTAGATATTTGAACTAATCATAAGTACTCTGAATTTACTCTTTTTTGGACAGTCACGATAATGTCTGAAGTTGAGACTTGCAGGACAAGCAGAACAAGTCAAAGAATAATTATTCCCTTTTAGGAAATATTTTTAAAAATTTTAATTATATTATCACTCTGACTATTGTAAGAAATTTCCACTTAAGTGGCAGAAACATAGAGAAGTTTCATGCTTTCTATTTTGATTTAAAAATTTTGAAAACTATGTTTGAGTTGTATATGTAAAAAAATACTTTTTGGAAAATTATACATTGTAAAATTACATTATAAATATTTTAGCTAACTTTTTGTGACACTCTCTTATTTGATGAAAAATATATTTTCTACACATGAACAGCCTCAAATGCACCAACACCCCACCTATTCTCAAAAACATTTAAGTTATATTTTTAAAAAAATATAAACTTTGGGGCCAGCAGATGGCATAGTGGTTACATTAGTGGACTCCCACATGGCCAACAGTGGTTCCAGTCCTGGACCTGGTGATTTCATACCACATGGGGCATGTGTGTGCATGCCCAAGATCCTGAAAGGAGAACAGAGGAGAAGGAATTGAAGCTTGGCTGTCCCCCCTAGGGGGTGATTTCTCACTTTTCCTTTCTTGGTCTCTCTTTCTCTCTCTCTTTCTCTCTCTCTCTCTCTCTGGCAAGCACATGTGACCTAAGGCAAAAACCTCTCAAAAAAAAAAAATCTAAACTTTTTAAAAAGAGAAACAGAATAGGCAATAACTAAATAATTAATAGGTCCTACGTACTTAGGACTTAGGACAATTATGTCAGAAAATTTAAACAAAACTGGTATAATTTTTTAAAAACAATTTGCCAGAGGGCATTTGCACTCACTGTAGAGAGACAAAGAGAGACAGAGTGAGAAAATGAGAAAACATGAAACATCCCCATGGTAATGACTGCGCTACTGTCCCTTTTCTCCCAT